GACAAGTGGGTCCAGTCCTTGGAGCTTCTTGCTCCACCAGAGACAATGCTGGGCCAGATACTCGAGCAACTCGACCGACGACTACGCCGAGCAGTCCTCATAATTCCAATTTGGCAGAAGGCCATTTGGTGGCCTCACATCATTCGACATGGCAAAGAACTGACTATCCTAGAGCCGGGCGCGGTGCACTACCCAGTATCGGTAGCCAACGAACTCAACAGGTTAGTTCCCACTATGCGTCTATACGGAGCAGTATTGTACGAGCCAGGCGGCAGCGTGCCAATGCCGCGATAGATCGCGCTCGAGTGTGGACACAAATACGGAATGGAGGGTTAGCGCCGGGCACTCGGAGAACTACCGGATAGCGTTCCAGTTCTGGACTAATTACGCCACTAGGCATAATCTTCCCACCACCATTCCGACTCGAGATCAGCTCTTACACTTCTTAGAGTTTTATTTTTATGAAGGCTGCGCTCCAGATCAAATCCGTCAGATCCGAGCAGCAGTCAACAGTTATACACGAAGCCATGGTCTGATCCCTCCGGACGACACGACATGGCAACGAGCAGTACAGGGGTATATCTCCCTGTGGAACCAAGGAAACCCCCTACCACACCCGACAAGCCTCGCATTTCTGCCACATGGCTTGCTCAGGTCTTGGATGCAACAGGACTTCAGTACAGGGGTATATCTCCCTGTGGAACCAAGGAAACCCCCTACCACACCCGACAAGCCTCGCATTTCTGCCACATGGCTTGCTCAGGTCTTGGATGCAACAGGACTTCCGGCGAACTGGCGCGCTCTCATCGCAGTCTTTTGGCTCTCCAGGGCCAGAAGAGATACAAACCGGACGGTCGCATGCAATTCCTTTACGTTTATTCCAGCATCGCACACACTCCTTATCGATCTCAAGAAGAAACGAGGAGAACGCTCTCAGGTGGCCAAGCTCATCACCCGACCCCTCGATTGCATTACGTATGCCTTTCTAGAACGCCATCTACCCGATGCATGCCGTTCATCTGACAGCCTACAGGCGCCTGCGACCGCTCTAAATAACCTCACTGACGAAGTAGGTATAATTACCATACGTCAGCACTTCATAAGAGCTGGACTTGCTGTCGACACAGCCGATAAACATATCCAGTAGCACGCGTTTCGTCGCGGCTTCTCACAGAGTGCATTCAGTATGAGGGTGCCGGAGGATATCATCGCCGGCATTATGAGCATCGATATGAAATCGCTGGAGAGCTATCGCTCGGTCACTACCGCTTCCGACGCTGACCGCAGATTCAACAGTTGTTTGTTATGAGAGCCTCCTACGCAATCCGGTGTGGAATTTTCAAGTGTAGAAGCAAATACTATTCTGGAATGTTTACATTCTAATAGTATTATGGAACAGAGAGTAGCACCAGTAAAGTCTTATTGTGCGTTACTGTTATATTTTTTAACTATTTAACAGTAACCCACATATTTGTGGTAAGACAATATGGTCCTACTCTACGTTCTTTTCATACTCCTACTTACAATAGGAGTATAAAAGGACGATGAAGTGGAGACACTTCCTCATCCATATTTCCTTCTACTTACCCACCCGCTTCACTCTTTTCATCCATATTACCTTAGATATCACCGAATAGCGATAGGATGTAGTTTGAGAACATACACCAACTAAGCACGCAAGTACACATATCACTTATGCACAAAAAGTTCACGTATATCTATATGTAATTTATGTAAGTATCTATATATTATCAAGTCCATGCCTTTGCTGTGACACATGAGTATACAAGAAAAAAAGTTAAAATCGTTAAAAATGCT